GGTGAGGTTTCAAGCCTTTCAGGTGGCGTCACCTCCTACTGGTGGCGCACCAGTGGTCACCCAGCACGGCCGGGTGCTGCCTGCTACAAAAAACACCTGCCTAGAAGCGCCACCATGAAGCCACCTGCCCTCACTCTCACCAACATTCATAGACCCTGAGGCCCGTTCCACCTGCCTTGTTTGGCAACATCAAAAATACCCTTGGCAGTTGCCCTGACGGCGGGGTTGCTTCCAACAGGGCATGGATGGACGCCTGGTCTAGGCCTGGCGCGATGAGCCGGCCATCAACCTCTGCTCTTGTTGGGAACGCCACGAAGGAGGTCCAACGCAAGCCCAAAGGAAACCAAGCGGAACGGGCTCGAGCCGACATGATCTTGAGCAAGCACTTGCTTGTCTATCCTGGGATGAAAGGCATATCAAGCATTCACGTGTGCATCTAGCAGCTAGTCCCCATCTCTGGGAGCGTTTGCTGTCAACTCTCAACCCGTCCGCACCCTATCGACCCTTCACAGGCTGGGCACTGGGCTCCCACACGTTCGCCCGCGGCAGGCGACCACTTCCCCACAGTGGTTGTTCGCGTGGTTACGCACCTGGTTGCAAGCCACAGAAGCCAGGTGAGGGCAAGGGACTCATTTGCGACACCAAATCGGACTCATTTGCGACACCACCACCCCCCTGTATTCCTCTCATGTACGACACCAAATCTCTCTCATTCGCGACACAGACACATGCACACATATGATTGCAAGCATTAGGTTGGGTGGGACATTAGGTTGGGGTGTGGAGGGGTGGGGCACTTGGGGTGGGGTGGGGTGGGGCATTAGGTTGGGGGGGGGGGGTGGGGTGGGGTGGGGCATTAGGTTGGGTGGGGGGGGTGGGGGGGGGGTTAGGGGTGGGGTGGGACATTAGGTTGTTGGGCTTCAGAGTTTAGAGTGGTGGAATTGGTGTGGAGCTGGATTGGAGCTTTATGACTTTATGAGAACCCAGCAAGGGCCCAGAAGCACACAGATTCTCTAAAAGAAAAGCTCTCCGCGTCACAACTGAGAAAAGCTCTCCGCGTCACATTCGAGACAAAAAAACGCGTCACAACCGAGACCCTTTCCCCAGGTGAGTTGATGATGGAGAAACTGGACTGAGCAGAAGCATCAGGAAAAACACTTTTCTCACTCAATCTTTAGCTTCTCAAGGGTGCATCGGCTCTAATTCCAGGGGTCCGTGCTCTCAAGCCCACTTGCACAGGTACCGCCCCATCCTGGCGAGGAGCGGCCCGAGAGTATAAAGAAAAAAGAAGTTTCCCACTCTCAGGACTAGGACCCAACAAGAGCAATAGATTGCAGTCAAATGTCATACTCAAAACAAAAGACTGAAAAACAGTAGCTGCATTGCAAGAAAACAAGAGCCCAGGTCCAAGGCATTGACCCAATGGGCTTATGCGTGGAGTTGGCTATGCAAAGGAGGTGGCAGAATCTGTCAACTGTTTGAAAACTTGGATGTCTGTCAAAAGAGGTTTGCATGTTTGTGAACTAAAGGCACACGCTCTGAATCGCCCATCATCTATGGGCCTTGTTGTACCCAGAGCCTGGCGTTAGGCAAGCTGGAAATCCATGTTCCGAACCCCGGGGAAAATCGCAGATACGTTCCTGCAACTTGCCAATTTCACGGGAAACTTATGCTGCATCAAATGTGCCATGGTCCGCACTGACTCATTACATACAGGAGGATTGCTACCCCTTCCGACACCCAAAGGTCTATGTTCCATAACAAAATTCACGTGGATGATCCCCTGCTAAAGGGAAGTAGCCCTAGTTTTGACTGTGGCAAGTGTGGAGATCTGTTAGAAAGCCAAGAACCCACAAGCAGAAAAAAGAAAAAACATGACCATGTTCGCCGTTTAGGAAGTTATTTAGTTATGAAGCTCTCTCAGCTCAGGATGCCTCCATTGGCAGACTGTAGCTAGTACAGCTGAAGAGATCTTTGACGACATACGTACCCTTTGGGAAGAAAGCATGTCAATGAAACCGCCAGTTGAAATTTATAGGACCTCGGAAGGCCTTTGCGTCTCTTGCACCCTTCTACCAGTTGATGGGCATGCAGACTAAATGGGCATCCATCCAAGAGGTACCCCGTATGGATCCCCAAAGATCTGGTAGAGAAAGTGGATCACAAGGTTACAGATGTTTGTTTTGTTTTATTCCACTTCTTGTCCATCTGGACATCCCAGACCCTGCTGCTGAGATACCTTTACTCTGACAAGGAACTATAGGTGGTGAGATTGGGTAAAGAAAAACATGCATGTGTGTGTGTGTGTGTTGTGGTCTGGGACAGGGTAGTTGTTTGTCCCAAATCTATCCAACAAACATGATCTTGCGTGTCTTTCTTGTAAGATGGAGTCTCGCTTCACTCAAAACCCTCTGACAAACCTTCCAACCCATCTCGCCCTGTTGGTTGCCATGCAACCTTGGTGGTGCCCAGGTGCAAGGGAGACAAAGCCGAAGGGGGTGTACAAAAAGAAGCTCGGATTAAAAAGCAAGGAGCAGAATTTTGCACGCTGCAAAGTGATGAGTCTTCCGCCCTGACTCTCATAATTGTGTGCCATGTGCCACCAAGAAATCAATCGGAACAAATGTAAGTGTGCTTTACCCCTTTGCTCCAAAACGGCACTATGGCTCACAGCCTGCAGAAATTTCACCAGGATGCAATCTAGTTCAAATTCTGGCTGATGATGGACCAACTGTAGCATCAACGCTCCTTGAACATCTTGAGGTCCGGTCCCAGCTTCTCAAGAAGCTTCCACCGGAAGTAAGTCTGGAAAAGGGTCAAGTCCATTTCTGTCAAGGCTACCTCTTTCTCCTCGATTGTGTTGTGTGTGTCGTAGACAAACCACAAAAACTTCTTTTGGTGTATCTCCACAATAGTATCCTTTTTAATCTTGAAACTCAACTGGTAGAACAGGAAGCAGAAATCGATCTTGCCCCCTGCGATGTGTGTGCCATGAATTTGCCGTAGTAGAAAAGGCCAGGCTTTCCCACATTAAACCTGATGTCACAGCTCATGACGCTACTATCCGTAGCCAGGTTACCATTGAGCAATGTGCTTTTTGTTTTCTCATCCAGATTGTGTTTCTTGCAAATACTCTCAATCAAATGCACGTATGGGTATCTCAAAGGATCTCCCTCGCACTTTGAATCATCGACAATCGGAATGCCGCTGAAGAACCGGCTTGTGGCATCCTCTTCAAACTGGTCAAAAGACATGCCACAAATAAGTCGCTGAGCCAGGTCCAAGTTCTCGCTTCGCACAACTTCATCTTTCATGATTTCCAAGTGCTTGCACAGGTTCATCATTGTTGGAGCCATTGTTGCCAACCACATGCCCTCATTGTTTGAAATCGGTGTCATGCCGGCGGCTTGTGCTGGAGGAGCTGGTGTGCATTCAAGGTTCTTCGGGGTAGCTTCAGCAAGGTTTTCAGCCATTTTCCTGGCTGTCCGCTCAAAGTCACCTGCCATGTCTGGCTTGCTTGGTGCCGTGAAAGGCATGCCTACGGGCAGAGAACCAGGACAAATCTGTCCCAAATTCCCCGACATAAGCCAACTTGCAAAGAAGAGACCAGCTGAAACTGATAGCTTTTTCATTGGGTGTCGAGGTGCCATCTTCTACACACCAGTAACAGAACACCTGACAACTCTAGCAGCTGAAGCAGCCACAACGCCTGCGGAACCAGCTGCCTTTCAATAGTATCTTGAAGCAAAAATGACTGTTTTGGCTCATTTGGGAAGTTCGACCTGACCTATATAATGCTCGATACTCACATGCTCAGACATCCCTGACAGCTTCATTCAGTTTCGGCTGCGACAACCTCTTCCAGTGCCAGCTGAGCTGGGCATCCCGACGAAATTGTGATACAATGTTGCTGTACCCGAAGCCACGGCGAAAAGAGAACTCCCCAAATGTCCCAAAGTGGGGCACCAACCACCCAAGCCATCCCAAGCCATCTCAAGCCCTCCTCTCGGAGCCGTGAGACGACCTTCTACAACCGACCAGAGACAATGGACCCAAAAAAGACTCGTCAGCCGTGCCTGGCCATTTGCCAGCCCCCTGAGGATGGCACACATGGGACATGTGACAACCTTTTGAGGCTGGAAGAGTCGCAATATCCTTTACACTCTTCGTACTTCCTTGAAAGAAGTCCAACTTTTGTTTCTTTCTACAAAGATTTGTACGTACTGTGTGAAGGCATCTGTGCAAAAGATCCAAGATTGATACACGTTCATGGCCATTCAAAATCTTGCGAATACGTATAATATGCTGGGATCAACTGGAGCAGGACTAGTTCTTGAAAGAACAAATCTGCCCTTCCACCTTCAGCCAAGTACAACTGCAAAATTCCCGCTTCTCAAACCAAACGTGTTGCGAAGTCTTTTCAGTCCATATTCAGAAGGTATAGTTCGAAACTGGTGGTGCCAGGCAAAAACATGCACATGCTCATCTGTCATTTTCACCACTTGGCCTCAAGTAAAGGCAACCCCTAAATACACCTGCTTCAAACAAAACATTCAGATACAGTAACCCAATTGCCAATAGCTCGTGGCTCGTTTCCTTTCATTTCATGGGATTGCAAAAATAACCCGCTGGTCTTCACGACTTGCCGGTCGAGTCAGAGCCCTCCGATTCACCCACCCCGGTGGTCCAGGTTTGCGAATGGGCACAAAATCACACTCCAGACGGATTGTCCATCATTCCATCACGAAAGAAACATGAAAGGTAAGATTCTAAGATTCATTATATTCGTTGAAATACCAAATTATATAAAGCACAAAAGGACAAGGGGGGTTGACTCAAAGGTACACAGGTTAAGCCCACGCTGAAGGTCATTAAACTGACATGTCTTGAAACAACCTAATCTGGAAACGGGTCTGGTGAATCGCTCAAAATCTGCATGTTTACACAAATGCCAAAATGTGGCAGCACGGAAACGTTTGCCCTTTGGCAACTCCCGTTCATCAAAAGGCGTGAAAATCGCACTCCTCCGGCATGGCCTTCTCTCCAGCCGCATAGCGGACCTCCATGCTCCCTGCAAGCCGGGCGAGCCGGGAGCCTGGGGGTTCACAGATTAAGACAGGTCAACAGAGTCATTTGAACAAGAATTTGCTACACCTGCGCATAAATAGCTTATAAAAGTGCAGCAGTCCAAAACTGAAAGGAATCAAACAACGAATGCGAATCAAAGCATGGCACCGCCCCGGCACGGCGGTCGAAAACAGCCCTTTCACTCGGGAGCTCAAGACGTCTGAGGATCGGACATACTCACAGCATGCGACTGGTGGAACAGTCTAAGGAATGCATTTCATGGTTTCTCAGCCCCCAAAACAATGATGTTCCACCAAGTCCGCTCTTCTGGCGATGAGTGCCCTGCTTGCCACGCTGAAGGACCTCTTGTTCAGCTTCAATTCGAAGTCTATTGGTCCTCAGCATTCGGAGAAGTGGCTCCGTATGTGCACCATCAAGCTTGGTGAGTGACTCGGCGGGGTTGAAATTATGAGGCAGCCATCTGGCTCTTCCACCGACGATGGAAAGTGACTCCTTAATTATGGCGATCTCGAGAGCACTTCGCTCGTCCTCGCCATGACTCTGGTCGGAGTTTAGGGCATCGTACAAGGACTTGGCGTCCATCACCACTATTGAATGCGGGTCCAAATAGGATTCCGATTCACTTGCGATCACTGTCGCTTTGCCCATCGCAGCCAGCTTTTCGTCTTCGGAGCGCTGTCTTGACCTTGGCTGAAAATGAGAGAACCTAATGCTCTCCATGAAAGCGTCTTGGCGTTCTAGCGCTCCAGTTGCTGCCGACATTGAAATGGCCTCGCAGAGAAGGCTTGAAGCCGCCTTTCTGCGCAGTCTCTTTGAGCGCCACTGCATCAAACTGACCGGGGCTTCCTCACCAACATTGAGCTTGTCATTGGTGAAGCCCATCAACCAGCCATGCTGGGAGCGCTCCTGGCCAGACGTGTCAAAAGCCGAGTCACTGATCAGTAGGTTCCGCAATCTGCTCTCTTCGATTGCGTGTATGACCAACTTGATGGGGTATGTCTTGACATGTCGCACGACATCATTTGCTGCCAACAAGTGCATTGCCTTGGGTTCTGGAAAGGATGAAGCCAGTATTGACGCTGCTGAGGCCGCGTCAGGCCGGCCCTCGCGAGCGAGCCAGTTGAGGCTTGCGATGAGACCGCGGAGCTGTGACTTCTCAGTCTCGGTCAACGGAAATTGAGCGGCGTCCTTTTTCAGTACCTTGCGGGTCATGGGAATCGGTTGGAGTCTGGTGTAGATGAACTCATCCATGTCCAGCTCAAAGCTGAAGTCTTTTCGCTGCTTCAACCGTCTGCCCGCGTAGTTTGAGCCATTTTCACTCTGGAGGTTGTCCACCTTGCCAAAGGTGAGAAGACCCTCCATGCGCTGCATGAGCTTTTGGTGCTCTGGACCTCCAGCTTCGGCAATATCATCCACCTCAATGACCATGAAACCCATGGTAGGAGGGTTGCCCGGTCCAGGCGCAGGAAGCGTTAGGATGCAGCGGTCGTACTTGTTCACCTCATAGCCCAAGGTTTCAGTTGCCAGCTTAAGCAAACTGCGACGCCACCATGACGGTCCAGAAACAAGGCCATAGACCTCGGTCTCAAGAAGCAAAAGCTGTCGTGGATCATATCCTTCGAGGTGCTCGTCTCGTGGTTGCCGGATGGCCAGTTTCTTCTTCCGGGTTGTTGGAAGAGCTTGCAAGAAGGCAGTTTTCACGTCTCGAACTCGAGTGGTCCACCGTCTTGAAGCAGCCATCTGGAGGCAGCAGTGGAGAGAAGTGGAGAGTGGCGTAGGCGCCGATCTCTCAACTTCCATGATCTGCGGATCTTCCCACCCAATGACGCAGAGCCGCGACTTGGGATTCTGTTGATCCTCCTCGAGGGCAATTGCTTCCAGGTGGCCTTCATCAATGGCCTTCTTTTTGTAGTTCTCGATTTTCTCCGGGGACACATCCTTTGGCTTGAACCGGTCAACGAAACGAGAGTTGATGACCTGCTCTGGCCATTGCTCCTCGAACGCAATGCTGTCTTCAATTGAGAGCACTCGAACAGCTTTGTTCTTGATGAGGCTGTCCACTTCTTTGATTCGAGCCTTTCTGAACTTCACTTTCTCTTCCTCCGGCAGCTTGGAAAACTCAATCTGTCCAAAGGAGGACTTGGCTTTGCTAACATACATACACCGGTCATTGGCGCAGAAACTAGCTTCAGCTTGGGATGACGAGAAGGTTCCATGAGAGCGAGCTCGAGGAAGGAGGATCCGACGGCCCTGCTCTCTATTGAACTTCCAGGTTGCTCCAATGAAAGGTGTTTTGGAGCCAAGCTGCTTGAGGTCCTCATCCTTGTCGAAGTCCACAACTTCTATGTAGAAGGACGCTCCTGGAGGCGGTGGAAGTGAAGGCTGGGCTCCATCAAAGGGAAAAGGCATGGTTGCTCGCCTTGCTGGTGGTGTATAACCCACTGGTGGAGTTTCTGGCACCTCTTGGTACGGGGTGTATCGGTTCCTGGCATTGGATGGAGCCGGACCAAACTGCATGGTGCCGTGTGGGCCTTCATCCACACGAATGGTGGTTCTTGGAGCGGAGGTGGCTGGCTCACCTGGTGCCATCTCCATTGACCTGTGCTCTGTTTGTTTCGGCTCGTAGCCCTCAGCAATTGGAGGCAGCAATGGCGCGTCTTCATTGTGATCAGTCCTAACGCTGACCCTTCGGCTTGGCGGCTGTGAGAGCTGGGGCGGAGTGGTTGTGGTGCCCTCGGAGTCCAGCTCCATATCCACATCGGCTTCACCTTCTGGATGTTGGGCGCTGTCATTGGTTGTTTCTCTTTCCATTGGCAGTGAGGGGGAGTACTCGTCATCGGCTATGCCATCTGCAGTGTTGTCGAGTTCAGAGATCCGCAGGTGGCGTCTGCTGGTTTCAAGGTCCTCTTCAGAAGGAAAGGTCTCGGCAGTGACGTCCTGATAGGCAATCTGGTTGTGGCCTTCCTTCTTGTGGAGCTTGTCCAGCATTTCACGAGTCAGTTCAACCACCAGTTCCGCACCCAATTCTTCCTCAGGTGTGGCTGGCCTCAGCTGCTCACGAGCTGCTTTCCACAAACGACCACGCATGCTGACCCACAAGGAACGGTCATGGACATCAGGCGAAATCAGCACACCAGGTCCAACCCATCCGCGATAGCTTGGAGAGTCGCGGAACACGTAGACCCAGGTGCCAGGTCGCAGATCTTTGAGGTCTGCTGTGCGACTGTTGGCTTTCAGAGCTCTCTTGAGTGCTCCTTGGTCTTGTTTCTTCATCCATTCTTTCATGGCAGCTTCACGGATCTCCCATGCTCGATGTAGAGGGTGAGAGGCCGCTGCGGCTGTCAGCTCCCGATCCATCCGTAGCCAAGAGGGAAGCAGGTAGCCGTAGCGACTTGCCGAAGACTCTTTGCATTGGAGAGAACCCGTGCCTGTCCATGAATCTGTTTCTTGAAGCAACCACCTCAGAGACAACAAGGGCCAGTTCTTCAAAGCGAGCACATGTTTCTTCCAAGGTGGCTTGGATCTTCTCCTTCAGGATTCCCCCGCCTCGCTCCGTCCGTGAGTTTTGCCACGGAGACTCAGGGTCTGTGTAATGAAGCGCGGTGCCTTGGCCGCCAACCAGTTCTTGGAACTTGAAGTTGTCGAACTCTTTTCCGCGATCCATGACTAGTAGCACAGGTGGACCGTAGTGCTTGATCCACTCGTTCATAAAAACATTCAGAACTTCATCTGCCGACTTGTCGCGGCACAGGCTGGCTTGCTGAAAGTTGGTCCCCCAGCAGAGCATGTTGAGGATGATGTTCTGCTGCCCATAGGCCTCCAAGAAGCAGAGGTCTATTCCTACCACTTGGTTGAACTCGAGCGCACGCATCAAGTGGCCTGGTCGCGCCGGTGATGGTCTTGGCCGAGCCTCACATGTGGAACATCGGAAATGTTCCTTGGTCCAGCTCAAAATGTCATCACGAACTCCTGAGTTGCGAAGAGCCCTCAGAAAGATCTCTCTCGGAGGGTGGCCAAGGTTCTGATGCACCCGGTGCACTTCTTTCCGCAGCTTGGGATCTAAGGCAAAGGCACCTACGCCAACATTCTCAAAGGTCTCAACCTTCTCCATTGCTTCTTGTAAGCGAGGGTTGTCTTCGAAGGTTCGAAGCTGTCGTCTCAAATCAGAGACGGCATCATCTTCTTCTTCTTCGTCTCTCTCTTCTCCCACAGCCGTTGGCCAGCTCATGGCATGGTTGCCGTCCTCAATCTCGCGCTCAAGCTCCACCAGGTCATAAGCTTCTTCCCTGGCAATGTGGCCCAGTGACTGACCCCACTGATACCACTGCCGGTGGTTTTCTTTTGGCTTGAGCGCAGAGTGCCCCAATGCAGCTTTAATGCCACTCACAAGAGCCTTGACAAAGGAGGGGGTGTAGATGGCTGCATCCCGTGCAGAGCCTCCCAAAAGCATGCCGTGGTGGTGATTCTTGGAACACGTCTTTTCAACATGCTCGCCCACGCCCTCGATGTTAGTAGCGAGGCAGGTTGGCTTTTTCACTCTCATACCTTTGAAGGGACCGCGCATAGCACGTAGTTCAAAGCGGCATTGGTCTAAGGCAATCTGGGTAACATCAGGTCGTTGACAGAGACGATGCAAGGAAGGTTGTTGCCAGGATGTGCACGGTGGCGCTGCTCCAAAATGAAGAACCTGCCTTCATTGGCCTGTTCTTCGGCCAGCTCAACGGAATAGTCCATGTGCACATTTCCTTCAGCTTCCTCCTCAACAACTTGCCAGTAAGGTCGCTTGAAGTTTGAAAGCTTTCTCAAAGGAGAGAACGTTCGGCATGGAGGACTCAGTAGCAGGACTGCAGGGCGATGCTTTCTCACCAACTCCTTGGCCTTCTTGCGGTGAGCGGCTAAGCGAAAGTCCCAGCCATTGGTGAGGTCCAGAGAAAGTTTGGCCCGCAAGCCCTGTCGCCGAGCTTCTTCACACACTCGTGGTGGCGAGTAGACTTCACCCACGTGGTCCAAGTAGCGAACCGCGTGGTAGACAATGCATTGGCGATCTTTGCGATCCAAAGTCTTTGGTGCTCCCTCAAAATCAGTTCGGCCTAGCTCGGAGAGGCTGGCATTCAAGGCAAAAGTAGCCGTCGTTGAGCGGCTCAGTCCCAAAAGCGAATTCGAAGCGGAGGTGTCCGAGGGATCATCAAGCTCCACCTGAGAACCCAGCCAGTGTAAGTTGGCCGAGGCCTCGGGCACCACGCAAAGGATTGAAGCAAAAGTGAGAATGGCTGCCGTAGCGCTCTTTGAGCTAGGTGCCAAAGATCTCTTCAAACAAGCCTTCATTCGAGGCGATGAGGACATAGGCAACGTGGTCGTGGTAGGAGTGGTCAAAGCGCTTCCATGAACCTCCTCCTTCGTAGTGCTCGTGGTACACATGGTTGCCTGGTCCTTTGACTTCTGGCTCAGGGCGACACCACTTGGACATCGTCCAGCAGGCTTGGCACTGAGCTGCTCGATGAGTGGATCTCGTACTGCTCGGTGAGGTGCTCCCTCTCCATGGTCTCCTGATGGCGAGACTTGGTGCGATGCTGAGCTGGCCGGACACCTGAGGTCATACGTCGACGACGATCCGGACTGGGTGACCTTGCCTTCATGGGCCCACTGGTGCGAGCTCCTGCCATGGAGTCCACTGGAAGCTCCGGTGTCTCTTGCACTGGGGATGCCAGCCACGACGGGGTTCGTGTCTGGTTGGAGTAGTCCGGAGGCACACTGCTTGGAGTCATCTCTTCTGCCGTCAGCTCCTGCACCACCAGTGTTGGAAGATCTGAGCGATACTTGGGCGGTGGCAGTTTGGCTGGGTAGCTCTTGTCGGAGTGCACCAGCATGTCCACAACTCGGCTTGGTCGATCCGTCGAGGACTGAGCACTGGACTTGGGGCTGCTGCGGTGCACGTTGATCTCCGCATCGGCTGCCCACTCTACTCGCTCCCAGCAGGAACCGCAGTCGAGACATGTCCACCATTATAAGTGTCCTTTGTGCCCCGCTGCCTGAGCTTGTCCTCGTCGTGGGCACATTTGGACGGCTCGCAGTGCCATGTCTTGCAGGCGTTGGATCGCCGCAGTGGGCGACCAATTCCTCGGCGCACCTTGCCATCGCCGATGGTCTTCTTGGACTTGCTCTCCGCCTCGGTGGGCGAAGCGGTCGCCACCTGGTACTGCTTGTTGCGGCTGAGCGAGTGATCCATGGCTGACTGCTTGATGGTGTTGAAAATCATGGTCATGATGAGCTGAGTCATGCGCTTCCAAGCGCCCATCAGCTTCTGTGAGCTGGTCTTGCGTCGCCCGGCAGTGGGCGCTTCCTGATCCGCCTGCACCAGCCATTGAGTGATGCGAGTCTGCATTTCGGCCTTCGGAAAGTTGTGGTGGGCTTGAACCAGGAGCCAAAGCTGCACGACCATCTGGCTGAGCAAAAGAACGGTGAACACCATCAGATTCCACAGCAAAACAAGGCTTCTCACGCTTTTCAAAAACACGTGCACTGCCAAAAGAACTCTCTCTCAACGTCAAGGGTGCTCTGTCACTCTCGCTCTTCGGTTCCGGCACCTGCAGTGCCGAGGCCGCCACCACTGAAGATGCCGCCTGAGCCGTCGAGAGCGGTGTCAAAGAAGGCGAAATAGGAGCCGAAGGAGGCGAGAAAAGCTCGAAAAACACGTCACCCGACCAAAAAGGAAGTTGACGTTGAGTTGGGAGTTGCCAGGAGTCATGGATGGTGATACTGTCGTGGTTCATGAAGTGGGCACACGTGGTTCGATCTCTGGAAAGATCCTGGTGAAGGTGTTTGGGGAGTACCTCATGAGGATGAACCAACGTTGTGCGGGAGGACAATGAACCCATATAGACCAAATCATCTCCTCTTTTCAACCATACGGCCACTCCAGGTCGTTGTTGGAGCTTTTCGCCACTATTGGCTTTGGGCAACGAAAAAGGATTGGTGGATGAAGAACTGGTGAGCTCCTTTGCCAACTGCTCTGGCAATCGCCATTTCCCATTGAACTCAAGCACCGAGATCGTTCGGTGACCCGATGGCAGTCGACGCATTGGTGTCTTCTTTCCTCCTCGAATTGAGAAGGTGTTCTTGCCGGTATCGATCACTCCACCCACCAGTTCGATGTAGCTGATGGGCAAAAGAAAAGGGGTCTCAAAAGCACCAGCATCTGCAATCTCCGTCACACGAAGAAGCCCGTTAGTGCGAGCGATGCCTACTGGCACGTCAAAGACTCCACAGATGGTAGCTGAGCCACCGATCCCAGCGCATGTTGCTGTGGTTCCTTCCGCTGGGATTGGCTGAAGCCCAAACTTGGCCAATGCAGCACGAAGGCGGCTCATGGCTGAAGAACCAATGATGGCCTCTTCAGCAGCCGTGTCGACCACACCTTCACAGTCATCCGTTCTCGCTCCAGCAAACACATCCAGCTGCCGTTGCACCTCAGCCTTGACATTCACGGCGTAGATGCGAGACTGGCTGCTGCTTCCAGAGTGCGCGAAAAAGGTCTGCGGTGTTTCCTGGTGAGGGCAATCACGCGACATGTGGCCCAAACCGCCACAGGAAAAACATTTGGTTCTTGCCAGCAACTCATCTGGTGCGCCACGAGCTTGACCTCGACCGCGACCAGCGCCACCAGCGCTGTTGCGGCCTTTGCCAAAGCCTCGGCGCTGGAAGCCCTTGTTCTTGCCTTTCTTCTGAACTGGTGGAGTGTTTCCCTTCTTGAAAAACTGACGACCCTTTCTTCGAGCCTGTAGTTCACGGCGAACATCTTTGCAGGCACTATTGTAGGCCCAAATGTAGGTCGCTTCTTCTTCGGTGTATTCTTCCTGAGGGTCAAACATCAGGAAGGTCATGTTTCCTTGTCCATCACTTTCAGGGCCTTCTTCATCCTCAGGTTCCTCGGCGTCGGCTGGAAGAAGTTCTTCTTCCTCGTCATCTTCGTCTCCTCCATAGTCCTGCGCGGTCAAGTAAGTCTTGGTCACTTTTTGAACCAGAGCGTCAGGACGATCTAGGGGCCGAAGAGCAGCGGCTGCCTGGCCAAAACTGAGCAGTGCATTGTAGCGAACTGCCATAGCTTCCTTCTGAGCATCTGAAAGGTTGGCATGCTTCAGGAGGATGCGGCCAGCAATGCGAGAAGGCAGTTTCTCCCCAAGGTGAGATTCCAGCTCTTGCAACGCCACCTCCTTAGCTGCAATGTAGGTGGACAGGTTCTCATTTCGATTCCTCTCGGTGCCATAAAAGAAGGTCTCGATGGATGCTGGACCAGCGGCTTCCAAGTATGGCCCATACTTGACCATAATGGCCGAGAGGATGGCAGAGTAGCCACTCTCAGAGGTGAGAATCGCTAGGTCGATGGTCTCGGCAATCCGACGAGGAGGGGACTGTTCTCCAAACGCTTGCATCAACTTCAAGCCCCATTTGTGCTTGGGAACATTGTTGTCGACTTCCCAGAGCATCAACTGTCGAAGCCAAGGCCTCAATGTAGCGATGTCCCCACTCCAGCTTGGGAGATTCTTTCGATCGCCCGACAGGGCTGCAGTGAGAGCTTTCATCATCGTTTCCTGAGGGTCCACCGTCGTTGCAGCAGGTCGGTGAACAGGCTTGCCCAGCATCTCAAAAGCACTGCTGATCGAAGGTGCCGACGGAGGTGCTGCTGTGGCGTCAAGCTGATGCCACAGGTTCGCTGCATTGAGAGGTCCGGTCACAGGTGCACCAGCGCCCAAGTTCGGCGCAGTGTGAGCTACATGTCCCCTTTGGGGTTCCACACCAAAAGTTGGAGGTGCTCCCATGCCTAAACCAGTAGTCCCTTGGGGATTCGGTGCAAAAGAAAAAGGCTGACTGAAAGATCCTGAGAAGCTTGCTGCATGAGACATTTGCGGAGTTGGGCTCATTCCAGGTGTTGCCACTGGTGAGGAAGACGTGGCAAAGTTCCCAGCTGCCGAAGGCGTAGTTCCAGGCGTTCCTAAGGAAGTGTTTCCCGGTACCCTCGGCTGCGACTGCATGCCACTGAAGGCTGGCTGAGCTAAACCTGAGTGCCCCTGTCCAAACACTCCCGAAGCTCGGGAGGAAGCATCACCTGTGGAAGGTGGTGGTGGTCGAAGCCCTCCTTGAGACATTCCACGAAAGTTCCGCCAGGGGTCCATACCCAACCAGGGATCCATGGGATGCAGTCGGAGTCGTATGTGGCTCCGCTGCCACTATAAAAGTGCAGCAGTCCAAAACTGAAAGGAATCAAACAACGAATGCGAATCAAAGCATGGCACCGCCCCGGCACGGCGGTCGAAAACAGCCCTTTCACTCGGGAGCTCAAGACGTCTGAGGATCGGACATACTCACAGCATGCGACTGGTGGAACAGTCTAAGGAATGCATTTCATGGTTTCTCAAGCTAAATAATGTTCAATTCAAGGGAGAGCAAATGTTCTTCATTGAGCCTTTAAAACTTCAAGATGGAGAATAGCCTCCAATGCTATTCCGCGTTTGTTGACCCCGTTTTTGGAGTCCTGTTGAATCTTTCGCCAACAGCCAACCACCCAACTACCCTATGGCTTCCTGAGATGGCGAGGCAAAACATCTTCAGAACACAAGCAACAAAAACCTAACAAGCACAAAAGAGGGCTGTGGTTTCTGACTAAACTTGCTGAAACCTCAAAGCATCTCAAACCGACCACAGGTTCGCTTTGTTTCTCATCTGCCGGCTGTTTTGGGGCGCCAGTTCTGCCTCGGCAGAGCTCCAGCGCACGTTGCGCGGCGCTCAGAGAGGTGTACCTTCGAAACCGGTGCGTGGAGCCCCATGGAGCCGGTTTAAGGCCAACCTTGTGCCACTCGGGGCGTCCAATGACAAGTCTTGAAGCCGGTCGTTCCTTTCCAACTCCCTTGACCAAACATCGGGAGACACCCCATGCGGATGCGAGACAGCTCGGACAGCCGGTGGGGCACTTAACAATGCCGGCTCGGCTCTGCAGGCCTCCGGTTTCAGCTTGGGAAGTGTATTCGGTCCAGGGTCTGACTCATCTCGTACCAGGACTCCCCAGGGAGGGCTCGAGGTCTGATATGCCGAGTTAAAGGTGGGAGATTGAATCAAAAGTGAGGAGTCTAAATTCAAGCCTGCAAGAAACCCATCTCCAGCTATTCAGACTTTTTGTCGGCCCTGGCGCAATTGCGCCTTGCCGCTGAGGAAGAAGTATGCACCCAGTGATTTGGGAGGCCTTGGCGAGAGTGTTGAAAGCTCTGGCTGGGAAACACGATCTTTTACTGTATATTCTTGGCATGAAAAGGCGTTCTGGACCTACTGTAGCGAGAACCTCTCCTGGCAAAGCCAAAAAATATTGACATCAGTGGCAAGCTTCAGCTTTCTCTGTCTTTGGAAGACGCCCAAAATAGGATGCAAATCCATCGAAGCTTCCGCAACGGGGAACAATGTTCAAAGAAGCCTCACAGTGAAGCTACACTCCCTGATAAGCCAGGGTCCCCTGACGTCTCCTCCGATATCGTGGTGAAATGCCTGACAAGGCATCTTCTGATCAAAATCACCGTCCCCATCCAGGTCCAAAATGATGCGGGGAATGAAGAAAAATCCGTGTCTGAAGAACCAAGTTACTACTAGTCAGGCCAGAAGAAAGGCTTCTTGTTACTAGTAGCAATGCAATTGTTACTACAGTAGTAGCGATGCCCGTAGGTTTCTACCTGCATCAAGGAGGCCGGGATGGGGGCCTCCCCGAGGCCTGCCTTGATGTCCTCCTCGGACCAGTTGGATGGCCTCGGGCAGACTACTTCGGACTCACCATTCCCCCAGGTGAGGACAGCGGAAAAATGCGGGCAACAGGGTAGCAAGAGAAGAAGGAGGGAAATCCACTAAAGGCACTAAAATTCATCTGTTTCCCGAAATCTTCATGCGTCGGTGTCTCAGTGACGAAAGAGATATTCCCAGAATGTTGTTATGTCCTTTTGGCCCTGGGCCTGAGGCTGATAACTACCCAGATCGGGGAGGCTGAGGTATATCGGAATTGTTGACATGGATTGTACCCTGGCAAATAACCGATCGAAATGTTGTTAACGTGCTACAGTTTTTCCCCAAGCAGTTTACTGTTAGGGGTTCTCAATTCTTTCTTAAGATGTGTCCGCCCTTTGTGTCACTGCTGGTGTCCGCCCTTTTCCGCTGGCCATGTAGAATTTCTATTCATTTGTCTCCCAGGTCTGTCACTGGTGTCCGCCCTTTTCCGCTGGCCACGCAGCATTTCTATTCATTTGTCTCCCAGGTCTGTCACTGCTGGTGTCCGCCCTTTTCCGCTGGCCATGTAGCATTTCAAAGCATTTGTTTCCCAGGTCTGTCGCTGCTGGTGTCCGCCCTTTTCCGCTGGCCATGTAGCATTTCTGGTCATTTGTCTCCCAGGTCTGTCACTGGTGATGGCCAGCCCTTTTCCGCTCGCCATGCAGCATTTCATTTTGTCTCCCAGGTCTGTCACTGCTGGTGTCCGCCCTTTTCCGCTGGAGATGCAGCATTTCTATTCACAGAAACCATTTACTGTTAGGGGCTCTCAATTCTTCTTCGAGATGCGTCCGCCCTTTCTGTCACTGCTGGACCTTTTCCGCTGGCCAAGCAGCATTTCCTTGTCTCCCTTCTGTCTCCCTTTGTTTCCGGTCTTGTGTCCCTTCTTGTTGGTCACAGTATCTGCCTTGTCTTTCCTTTTGTCTCCCTTCTTGTCTCCCTTCTTGTTGGTCACTGTGTCCGCCTTGTCTCCCTTCTGTCTCCCTTTGTGTCCGGTCTTGTCTCCCTTTTTGTTGGTCACTGTGTCCGTCTTGTCTCCCTCCTGTTTCCTTTCGTCTCCCTTCTCGTCTCCCTTGTTGTCTCCCTTCTTGTTGGTCATTGTGTCCGCCTTGTCTTCCTTCTTGTCTGCCTTTCCCTTCCTGTTGGTCACTGTGTCCGCCTTGTCTCCCTTCTGTTTTCTTTTCTTTTCCTTCTTGTCTCCGTTCTTGTTGGTCATTGTGTCCGTCTTGTCTCTCTTCCCCTTTTTTCTCCCTTCTTGGTTGGTCATTGTGTCTGCCTTGTCTCCCTTCTGTCTCCCTTTGTCTCCGGTCTTGTCTCCCTTCTTGTTGGTCACAGTGTCCTTCTTATCTCCCTTCTGTCTCCTTTTGTCTCCCTTCTTGTCTCCCTTCTTGTTGGTCATTGTGTCCGCCTTGTCTCCCTTCATTCTTTCTTTGTCTCCGGTCTTGTCTCCCTTCTTGTGGGTCACTTGTCTCCCTTCTTGTTCGTCATTGTGTCCGTCTTGTCTCCCTTCTGTCTCCTTGTTTTCTCTGGTCTTGTCTCCCTTCTTGGTGGTCATTGTGTCCGCCTTTTCTCTCTTCTGTTTCCTTTTGTCTCCCTTCTTGTTGGTCACTGTGTCCGCCTTCCTCCGCCTTGTCTCCCTTCTGTTTCCTTTTGTATCCCTTCTTGTCTCCCTTCTTGTTGGTCATTGCGTCCGTCTTCTCTCCCTTCTGTCTCCCTTTTTCTCCGGTATTGTCTCCCTTCTTGGTGGTCATTGCGTCCGTCTTGTCTCCCTCTGTTTCCTTTTGTCTCCCTTCTTGTCTCCGTTCTTGTTTGTCATTGTGTCCGTCTTGTCTCCCTTCTTGTTGGCGTCTCAAAAAGTGGACTTGGGAATGCTTCGTTGTTGTCTAACCTGTTTGGGGTCTACGGCGGTGTAATTTGCTGCCCAATCTCAACAAGCGACTTCAGTCACAAAGCCGCACGATCTTTGTCGCAATCGCAACATGTGAGCAGAAACACACACCCGACCCCAGTCCACCTCAACCCACCTCCAAAAAAATTGTAAAATGGGGGTTCTGGGGAGTTCTTGTTCATCAGCCACCTCGTTGAATTTTCTTGGCTTTTGAAAATTTGTGTTGAGCCTTTGTCGTTTTTCTGGGGTCTTGTTATGCGATGACGCAAGCTTGGTGCGCTTAACTAGTTTTGCGCTTTTGGAGCCTGGGGGTGTGTGGAGCTGGTGCGCGGGGTGGTGCGTGAGGCGGTGCGCAAACAAAACGCCCGGGGTTTGTCCTATGTTTTGTGGTGCGCAGAGTGGTGCGCGGAGTGATGCGCGGCGGTGCGCAGACAAGACATCCGGGGTTTACAAGCAAAATAAGAGGTAGCGGTAGCGGTAGAAGTAGAATCAGGTTCCCCGCGGTTCCCCGCGGATCCCTGCGCTTCTCCGGGGACAGCAAGACTATTTTGTAATCATTAGGCTTTAAACAGTGGTCAACATTGTAACATGGCCATTGGTGTCCGCGAGGATCCGTGGGGATCCGTGGGGAACCGCGGGGAACCGCGGGGAACCGCCGGGACCGGATTCTACCTCTTATTTTGCTCGTATGTAGGCTAAGCGCAAGGGTGCTTTGGAACTCCCCGCAATTCCCCGCAGATCCGCGGTTCCCCGCGGATCGCCGCGGTTCCCCCTTCCGCACCACCCCGCGCACCACCCCGCGCACCACTCCACGCACCACCCAGACCTTCCCAAACCTACCCAAACCCAGATTTTGACATAGGGGTAGTTAAGCGCACTCTGCCGTGGCCAAGGGTCATAACATTCACTATCATTGCTATAATTCAACGAGGTGGATGATTGTTTAGGTTGTAGTGTTTTCTTGTGTGGTGGTTTTTTGGGTTTTGGGTTTATGTTCCGTTTTGGCTGTTCTTTTCCTTTTACTTTGTTTTGATATTTTATGCTTTCCTCGTGTCGTTTGACTTGATATTTGTTTATGATGCTTTCGCACACCGGACATACTAATGTTTGATCATTTTTACGATAGTAGTATTGTCTGGCATACTCTCTAAATTTATCTTGGTTTTTCTCCCTGTATCGTTGCTTGGCTTCCGACATAATTTACATTGCTTACATTCATTTTTGAAGTAGTTGAGTGGCTGAAAGACCTTACACTTGGAACATTGCTTTTTGTCAGTCATTGTATCTCTATAAGTTTAAGGGTTATGTCTTTAAATGTTTTTTAGGGGGTTCTCCTGTTGTGGGGGGTTTGGGTTTAAAGGATTAGTTCATAATATGTTTAATTAAAAAGATTATAAATTAATCGTGCGTATGCTGTCCATTTTCCTATTCCATCCCACCAGTGTTCAATGACCCTCATTTGTGTTAGGCACGGTTTGTTTGTATCGTTTAGTTCATCCATCGCTA